TCGCACGTTTACTCGACTATTCCAACTTATTTAAAATTTCCAATTCAATTTTGAAAATTGATTTCTATTCCCTGTTTCCAATTTTTTAACATTTCGTCGCTTACGAACGAAATCGTAAACGAATTGGAAATTTATAACTATTCGTTATTATTAAAATAATTGATATTACTTCAATTTCTCCCGAAATTGAAATTATTACATTTCTCACTTAGAATTCGAAAAATGTATAAATAAATAAAATTAATCATCGATCGAATTAAAATCTTGAAATCATATTCAATTCAAATTCAAGTTTCGATTTTTATCTGTTCCAAAAAAAATGTCGCGCGAGGGGAGCGTGAACCCTTTCCGTCCACGAACGTTGTGACACATTTAAGTTAAGTTTACCTCGCGTAACTGATCAGTACGTTTGGCTACGACGATTCCTATATACTTTCTTATCGTTATATATATTTATATATATATATATATATAGGATAAAAATTGTATTAGGATTGTAAATAGAGGGTAGAAAAATCTCGTAGCATATCTCGCCCGTATCTCTTGCCAGAAGAAGGTTGTCACGTTGCAATACATACATAACACACATATACATATCCAATTATATAGATTTAATTCCTAATTAGAGTTCCTGTTGAAGGCAGCTTACCGTTGAACGAACTCTTTATCCTTCTCTTCCCCTCCCCACACCCCTGTTATACATTTTTTCCTATGGATACTAAACGGCTGAAACACGGCCGATTCGAAGTAGAAGTCTCGGCCAATTCAGTGGAAACTGAATCTCGTTTTTGATTATTTCGATTTGTGTTTCGATGATCGGGGGATGAACATTTTCGTTCACGATTCGTTCAATTAGAAATTAGGATTCTTCGTCGAGGAATCGTCCTTTCTTCGATTCTTCATCTATCGAGACGATTATTTAATGATTAACGTTAGAGGGAATCGGTGGTTAAGGATCTTCGTTAGATTTATCGGGGCACACATCGCGAGCGTTGAATAAATATTTAATGGGAGGGTAATTGTAATAATTGAAAGAAAAAAACAAAAAAAGAAAAAAAAGGAAAAAAAAAAACATTTCAATCCCTCGCGCCGCTTTTAATCGTATGTTAAACAGATAATCGACGAACGAGCAAAGACGAGAATATCGGAGGATCGTGTCGAGGATAATATACGATCCTCCGCGATTCTATCGAGTCACATCTCTCGCGCTGATTTCCCTTAATTATTGATTTATAGCGGATGGTTGTTTGACAGTATTAAAAGAGTTACAAAGAGTTTAGGTAACCCTTGTCGTGACTTTGTTTCGACAAGACACGCATACGTATACATATATACATATGAAAACACACACACACACACACACACACACACACACGATACGTTGAAAATACAACCACGTGACAGAGAGCACATACACACAAATGAAAAAAAAAATATATATATATATAAAATAACACATACACTTTATAGTACGCGTATAATAAACGAGTAAATATATATATANATACGAACACGACAATGCGTAATTGGCAAGCACTTTTTACGAAGTACAAGACGTTAATAGAATTTTATTAGTACCGACCGGATGTGACGCGCGTGTTCTAGTATATTGGGTGGGTCAGAATTACGTGTGTGGCGTGTG